TGGGCTACAGTATGCTAGAGCGTGTCTCCCCAGTCGCCAACCCTACACAGTTAACAGATTGAACACACTAAGCGACACAGCTGGGAAAGATAATAACTTAATCCCTAATTTGCCTCGTGGAACTGATAACTGCTAGACTGGACCAACAACTGAATCAACAGCCCCCACCTCCTCCTCCGGTCGTACCGGAACAAAATGCGAATGTGAATGAACAGAATGTGAATGTAAATGATGGGGACATAATTGTTCTCACCCAGAAGTTCAGCAAAATGAAACCGCCATCCTTTCAGGGAGGCCTTGAACCGTTAAAAGCTGAAGCTTGGGTTCTGGAGACTGAAAAATTGTTTGAAGTTTTCCCGTGCTCTGAAGCACACAAAGTACTGTTAGCCACCTTTACATTGCAAGAAGAAGCTAGAAGGTGGTGGATGCTCATCCGTGATGAAAATACCGTTCTGACTTGGGCTCAATTCAAAGGAGCCTTCTTTGAAAAGTACTTCCCTCAGTGTGTAAGGGACAGAAAGGTGACTGAATTTGAACAGCTGAGACAAGGAGCCATGTCTGTGGCTGAATATGAGACGAAGTTTACCGAGCTTGCTAGATATGCACCGCATATGGTGGATACTGAGTATAAGAAGGCCAGAAAATTTGAAGGCGGCCTTAATGTCGCAATTCTTGACCGAATAAATGTTCTGAAACTACCGAACTATGTAAATGTCCTTGACAGAGCCTTGATGGCTGAATCGAACATTGAAGCACTAAAGACTGAAGCGCCAGCGTCTGAATGGCGTGGAAAACGGCAGGGTTTCAAGTTTAAGAAAGGCAAGCATAGTCCATTGAACAAGAAACAGAACACAGGGTCAACGACTACGTCTAGTCAAGGAAACCGTACAATACCGCCCTGTTCTGAGTGTAGCAAAAATCACAAGGGAGTTTGTTACAAATTATCAGGAGCCTGTTACAGGTGTGACAAGGTGGGCCACATGGTTAAAGACTGCCCCTCTGCTCCGTAAGCCAGTAGTAAAGCTACACCAAGCATAGCGGCATCAATTGTTACACCAAAACCGAACCCCAAAGCTACCGGGAAAGAGCCTATGAGGCAGGGCCGAGTGTTCGCCCTAGTGCCGGGAGACGTCCAGAATACCGAGACCGTTGTGTCAGGTATTCTCTCTATTTGTACTCAGAATGCTTATGTACTGATTGATTCGGGGTCTACGCATTCTTATGTGTCGCATGCTTTTTCGCGTAAATTGAATAGACCCTTAGAATCTATGAACTATCTGTTAGCTGTATCCTCACCCGTTGGGGGATCTATGACCTGTGCATATACGTATCTTGCTTGTGAAATTATTGTTGGAGATGCACATCTGTTTATTGATTTACTGCCATTGAACATTGATCATTTTGATGTAATATTGGGGATGGACTGGTTAATGAAATATCATGCCACCATAGACTGTGTAACGAAACAAGTAGTTTTCCATCCACCTGGTCTACCTGAATTTGTGTTTAATGGGGTTGGAGTAGTACCTCCCCCGTATCTGATTTCATCTGTGAACGCTGTAAAATTAATTAGAAAGGGCTGTAAGGGATATCTGTGTTCTGTACTGACTGTATCTACTGATGATAATGCTGATGTGAACTGTATTCC